ATAGATATTTGAAGTAAATCACAAAAACGCTTATTTATCCCTCTCTTTCCAGTCCGCTGGTGTTCCTCAAGGTAGTAGTATCCTAGGTCCTATCCTTTATACAGTTTAAACAGCTGACATCCCAACCTATCCCAACACTGTCATCACCACGTATGCCGATGACACATGTATCCTATCAGTAAATAATGACCCATCAATTGCATTCCAAATACTTCAATCACACATCATAAATCTTGGTGTCAAAACTGAAGAATTAAAATAAATTCCACCAAATTACCTTTACCCTTCGTTGTAAACCTATGACTTCCTGTCCTACAGTTTCCTTTAACAATACTATACTTATCCCTGTTGAACAAATCCACTACCTAGGACTCCACTGGACAAAAGTCTAACTTGGAATCCTCATACCAGACTGAAACGACAAGAAACCGCTCGACGCTTCCGATTACTTCAGCACTTACTGGACAAACGCTCTAAAACTTCCAATTAATTACAAATGACTCATATACATGACTATAATAAGGCCTATTTGGACTTACGGAGTTGAGCTTTGGGGTTCCACTAAACCATCGAATTCCTCTCGTATCCAATCCTTATAATCCAAAATCCTTCGTAAAATCCTCAATGGTCCCTTTGTTACAAATAAAACCATCCATAATGGATGGCCTTAATGTTTCCTATGTTTTAGATCTGGCCCAATCCAGATACCTATACTTCCATAATAAACTTCAGAATCATCCCAACCCTCTCTTTTCTAATCTTGCTTCCTCTTCAATTCCTGATAACCCTCCAAGGCGTCTGAAAAGAAGATGGCCCCGTGATCTCCTAATGTAAACATATCACTAGAGCGGTACCATTGGGTAGTTTATGAACAAATCTTTTCACGTCATTATATCCATATGTTCAAATTTATTAAATGTATTTCTTTAATACAGTTGTAAATATCATTAAGAAATTTAAAAAATTAAAAAATTTGCAGCTCACCCTAGGAACTCAAGATTATCATCTTCCATTTCATTTTAAAATGGCCTTCGAAAAACCTGTTTTGTAAGGACTTTTACCCCTAAACGGCTATACCATGATTTTGATAAAACTTGGCGTAGGTCCTGTCTTTGGAGTTCTTTACATTTATATATATCATAATTCTCCGAAACGAATTTGGAAAACAAGTTATGATGAATGCAAAATTTTATTTGCGAATAACTCAAAAACTATAAGATTTTTTGGTGGTTTAATAAATATTAGAGTTCTCAGTATGTTTTTTGTTTAATATTTTAAATAACAAACCTTTTTAATATACCAAGAAAGAAAAACGTAATCTCTTCAAGATTCACGGGCGGATCTACCGGGGGGGGAGCTTTCGAGCTGAAGCCATATATATAACCATGTTTTATGGAAATAAAAATTAAAAAATACCTCTTAAAGTATTATTGTTCGTGTAATTACATTTAAAAGGACTTAAGGAATCACTTAAACACCATTTCATATAGGTAGTTAGTTTCTTTATGTTTTTCCAAAGTAATTATCGTTATTTTTATGAAAAAAAAAAACTTTCGGGCTGAAGTCCCCCCCCCCAAAATTAAATCCTGGAACCGCTAGTGTCAAGATCTAAGTTATTACATTACAATAGACGTGGAATTAAAAAATAAAAGAAATGTGTTCATCCGCCATCAGCTGTTTCCTATTGGACAGATTCTTTGAGATTTGACACAAATGCAACAAGTCTTCCCAGGATGAACATAGAAACTCAACATTACTACTAGCCGTTTCGTTTCGAAATGGCAGCCGATAAACATCCCTATTAAAACTAAAAAGTTCCTTAAGATTATATACATCTATCTATCATATTATACTCATATACCTCCCCGAAAAGAATATGGAAAGAAATATTAACGAATGCATATATTTTTAAAATTCGAGTATTTTTTATTTAAAAAATAACGAAATTCCCAACAAAACCAAAAATTTTATCGAAACCATGTTGCTCATTTCTGAGCTATTGTGTTTTGACTTTTGTGAAAATTGTCCTATTTATCTTCTAAAGAATAACTTAAACGTATATATCTTTAGAACTGTTAGGTAATAATGAAACATTGCAGAATAATTTAATATTAGAACTCTTGTCAATATTATATGTACATACATATGTACTTATCTAAGTACATTAATGATAAATGTATATCGTGCACATACGATTAATGTAAAGTTGCGAAGCTCTTTCTGGACGCATTACTCTAATATCAATTTTACTCTCTCGTATAAGTAGAAATGTAAATATAACAAAAGTTAAAAAAAAAAACTGCAAATTATTACTCAATGGTGCATTCCAAAGAGTTCTAAATCAATGCATTTGTATATTTATTGAACCATTTTAAGTTACGAATTTTATAAGAACTCACCAATTAACTGGAAATTATACCTTTTGAATTTGTATAACAGATTTTTTCCAACTGAGAATATACCGAAATCCTGGGTGAAAATAGAATACACCATGGTACTTAAAAAAGGTGACCGCTATCTACCCGAAAATTATCGTTTAATCGCTTTGATCAATTGCATATTGAAAATATTTACCCAGATAATTCTAGGTTGGTTGATTGGTTGATCTGGTGTGACGAGACAAAAACTGTCCGTGAAACACAATCAGGTTTCCGAAAAGGCAGAAGCTGTCTGGATAATTTGTTTATCTTGAACACCTTAAGTCAGATACAGCTGGCGTTTCTGAAATCAAATTCGTGTTTAGTTTGCATTGTATGCTGAAAAATTCCAGTAGCTAATTTAGCTTTTGTCATTTTTGAATTACAGTTTTGTTTATGTTGTTTAAGCTTTTTTTCGAACCATTGTGCTGTCTGTCCAAAATATGATAATAATGTAATAAAATAGTTAAAAATAGACATGACGAGCGTGATACTGGTTATTATGGGAAGACGTATGTATTTTACATAAGAAATATAATGGACAAGTACATGATGGGTAATTATATAAAAAAAATTGCCCTTCACAATAATGTTCAACTCGGGTATATCGATAAGCTAGAAAGCCTAAGCTTAAACTTTTATAAACGTTTATTATCGCTAAATAAAAAACACCTATTCTGGTTAATGAGATTGGAATTTAAAATACACACAGCTGCGATACTGAAATGGGCGCTATCTTGGGTGTTAAAAATGGAAAGTGATAGATTTCCTAAATTTTGTTTTAATAAGTTAAAAGAAATACATGTAAGTGGAAAAGGGGGTCATAAATTCAAGGGGGTTTAATCAGTTACAGACTCAGTTATTGGGCTCTATAAAAACAACAGGTACATAGGATAGTATATTATATTTCATTGTTTATATTTAGGCACACAGGCAGACCTTTGGTTGTCAACAGGAGAGGATGTTTTCACTGAATGTCAATGAATTTCACTGTTTATATAAGTTGTAATTGTTTTTCATATTAATTTATTGTGTCCATTGTTATCGTTATGGCCAACTATATTTGTATGGGGCATTCCTTGAAAACAAATAAAATATTCATTCCTTCATATTTATTGAAAAGTTATTACACCAATTACCATTTTGCATAATTCAGTTGATAAATAGGATTCATGTTCACGAAAATCAAAACGCCATTACATATTTGCTTTTTGTTTAGAAAGTGATTATTAAATAAATAACCGTTAATGACATATGTATTTTATATATTTATCATTGAAGTACATTTGCAGTATAATCACTTTCTGAACAAAAACCGGAACTGGTATACCCTACTAGCATTAAAACTGCTTCATATACAACTGTAATTAATAATTTGGATATATTTTAGTGTATTTTTTTTTTTACATATAAACTAACCCAAGTTAAGTTTGCTGTGTTAACCTAACCTGTAGTTAAAAAATAATAGTAAAATAGATTATTTTAATGTGATAGATTATCGTTCAATCGTCCATTTTGGATTTTAGTGCCATACATGAGAATTTTCAAAAATTTCAGAAGGGCTCCTTGGCTAACATTGATTAATGTATCCTTAAATACATTCATACCGAACCTGGTGCATTTATCGGCGATGTAATGAATGGTATCCTTAAAATTTAGCCCTAAACCACCTGGCTATTTAGTGATGTCTACATTTTCATTGTAACCATCGAATACTACAGTTGCTGCTGGTCCGTAATGCTTCCGTATGAAATTATTATTGGCCGTTCATTTATCTTCATAAGTTCCTTGTTTTGGCCAAACGACACGATGAATTACGTTGCTCCAGCGACGAGAAATCGAGAAATAAATGATAAATCGTTTTCACAAGCCCTTTTTCATCAAATAAAGGCTTTCGAAGAAATTAATTTTGACATAAATGGATTCGAAGTTATATGAGAAAAACAGAAATGAGACATAGAGTTCCAAATGTGGTGTTGGGAGGGATAGTTTTTGGCGAATTAGTGGACGTTTCATCCACCTAATCAAATAGTAATCAATACTATTGTTGACGCCAATAAGGAAGCTACCGGGCTGGGAGAGAAGGAACCGTCAGAGCTTAATGTACGAATAGAGGATATGGACAATTCGTTCCAATGAAGACCTCTGATGTATGCATGCGAAACTGGATTTAGCCTCAATTACGAGAGGAAGTCAGATCAGATGCTTCGATTATGTTGCTAATTTAACCAAAAAATGAATCCTCCAAACCCCGGCTCGAGGATCGTCCTACTGGAAGACGTGGTCGATATTAACCACGCCTGAGATAGCTTAACGAAGAGGGTGTTTTAAAGAGGAGGACATCCTGAAAAGCATATGAATGAGAAGATGGCGGATGCTTACCTGGAATTCGCGAGAATGGTGACAAGAACGTCTTAGGTTCTTAAAGAACTGTAGTGTAAAGATTAAATAAATAAAAATAAAATCTAAGAATTAAAATGGTGAGCTGAATGATTTTGATTGTTAGCTTTAAATCTATATTTGCTTACGTCATGTTTTTAACCTATGCTATATATCTAGATATACTAACGCCCTATTTTTCAGGTCTCAAGCCGCGTTGCGACAAAGGGATGAACGCGTCCCCTTCAGACATCTTCTGCTCTGTGCCTGGAAGGCTGAGTCTTCTCAGCTCTACATCCAAGTATAAGGTGAGTTTAATAACTATTCAAAATTTCTCTAATTTAAATTAATGTTAAGAACAAGTGAATCTCCTCCCTTCCGTTATCGCTTCATCATTGGGCATATAAGACTGGTTTTTTTTTTCCAATGAAGTAATTAACAAGTACTGGATAAGTTTTTATATAAAATATTCTTTTTATATTGTATAAAAATAGATCATGGTGTATTAGAAGATAAAAAAAATCGCTTTAAATAATCAAAATATATTCATTTTATCTAAAATTCATTATTAGTTTTTTTAAAAGAAATACAGACTATTCTTATTTCAATCTATAATGGATTAAGAAATAGGATGCTTAGTCGGATTGTTTTATGCCATCTAATAAAAATACTTCATTGTTATGAAGCAGTAATTCTGAATTTATCTTTTGATTTTATATTCCTGGAGCCTATTTATTAAAAATATCGAACAGTTGAGAATTTCATGTCAGGACTATTCAGATATTCTATTCCTCTTTTAATTCTATAGCTTCTTAAGTGTTTATTGACACCAGTTCACACTTTTAATAAAGGATGGTTCACTTACCAATCCATCCCATCTAAAAATAAAAGATAAGCGAGTCCATGAGTTTCTTATTCTTCTGTGTCTAATCAGCTTTCCAGGATAATTAGAGAACTTGAAAATTAGAGTTTTAGTTCATTTCAGAACTGTCTTCATAAAACATTAACAAACTCCCTCTGGGATACTTGATGTTAAGGAAATTAGGAAGTTCAATATGACCAAATACAGTGATTAAAAAAAACCAACAATATTCGCCACACCCTAGAGGTCGGTGTTGACTTGAATAAGTCAGCATTGATGGAGACTTTTTTTTATTATAGAGCACGTTTTAATCATTCATGGGCACTAGTGTTGCCCAAAATCGGTTTTGATCTTGCACTATGCAAGACCAAGACCAACCACCTCCTATCTGTTGCAACACCAAGACCAAGATTAAGAGAGAGAAACACTTTATTTTCATAAAATATAAAATATAAAGGATTGCTGCCCAATTATATTGGGTTGCTATACACACAGCATACTCTTCTATCCTTAGAACAATATATGAACTTATATATAAATATACAGAAGTCTTACTTAATATTATTAATATATATATATATATATATATATATATATATATATATATATATATATATACATTTTTATTATTTTTTTTCCATTTTTTTTCCCTTTTCCTTCCTTTCATTGTTTATGCTTTTTTTTTTTCTTTCCTTTAACATTTAGTTTCCCTTTCTCTCACTTCTCTCTCTTTATCTCTATTGTTTTTAATTATTCATTAAATAAATAAATAAATAAATACATAAATTAAAACTCTCGGGCTAGCCATGCACGTGGTGGTGAATGATTCCCAGTGAGTCGAGGACTATATTATCAGCCAACCTCGCTACGTCCTTAATGTCGACACCTAGTTCCTCGAGGAAGCTCCTAGTTCTTTTTGGGATAGTTCCGCGAGACCCAAACCAGAGGCCTCTCACGGTGAACTCTCTCTCTCCGAAAGTCTCACGGAATTTATCTTTTAGGAAAGGGATACATCAGCGCTGTCTAAAAAATTATAGTAATATCTCTCTAGTAATAAGCTAATAGATAACTGCAAGACTGTTACGAGAGTCTTGCGCAAGACCAAGAACTAAACCAGGATTGAGTTTGCAAGATCAAGACTCGTCTCGGTCTCGCATTTGGGCAACACTAATGGGCACAAAGTCCTTTAAATCTCTCTATTTGTTTTGAAACGGAAAAATTGTCATGATCGAGGAAAAATCAATAAAACATATAATTATCCATTTATAATTTTACATATGATATGTATATTAGGACAAAAATCTCAGACGTGATACATCGAGATCTCTGGTCCATATTAAATCGATATATTTATGGTGTATTACGTTTGTGGAGTTTGAAACCACGTAATAAATTAAAATATCTTAGTATGTAAGCAGGCAACCAGAGGTACTAATAATTGTATACATAGTTGATACCTACGTGCTCTAGATTTAATGCACAAGTCATTATTCGTCCTTCAGTTGTGTTACAAAGGCTGGAGCCTGATGGACGCCATCCAATGCCTTCACATTTTGCTTTTCCTGCATCGCATGTATGCATCATACTATCTTCCTTAGTCAATTGCAATTTTTAAGTATGAAGTGTTGTTATTGGATATAGACGATATGTTCGGAGCTCCTCAATTCCTTAGGACATCACTTTCACATAAGTGGAGAATTCGTAGGATTCGTCAGATGAGATTAGACCAGAAGAGTTTGCTAAACATCTTTCCTACAAATTCAATCCTCATCCCAAACTCCATCCAACCCACACTGCAGAAGTTAAAGAATTATCCTCTTCACCAATCCCTCTCTCTCTATCTCCAAAACCTGTTAAACCCTCTGAGGTCAAATTCCTTATAACCAAACTAAAACCTCCAAAATCCTGGCGGCATCGTTACGTTCATTGCAGTGTTGATCTCACTCTGTCAGTACAAACAGTAACGGCATATCAATGGCAGACTGCATTTTTAATTAACAAGAAATATAGAAGTATCATATAGCAAAACTTCAAGGAACCTGATATTAGTCAATTTTTTTTAAAATTACAATTTTTTAATTTGAGTCTGGCAATGGATAGCCGCGTCCTAGCTGGGTAGGCGTTATTTTATTCTCTAAACCCGAATATTTTCATGTAGCGAAATTTCAAGCTCCCTAAAAACGATGAAGTTTGACGCCTGAAATTGCAATTTTTTAATTAGGGTCTGCCGGTAGATCGTCACGGCCTAAAAGAGGCAGAAAACGTTATTTATTTATTTGGAATTAGTTCCGAAGCACTACTCTTTCAGCCATATTGGTTGATACCAGGTTATCCACAATGTTTCAGATAAGGTTTACAACAGATAGCGCCACTAATGCGGAGGGGAAGTCTTGTCAGCCCTTGACCCCTCCACCTTACGTTCATTAAAAATATTTACCAAATACAACCTATAGAATATATATTACGAGCCTTTTATTTTAACTTCTCGACTTTTTTCGTCTCTTCAGTATATCCATAAAGCAAACTTTCTATTTTCTATATTATTTATAGACACATATTACCTCAATCAATTTTTTCCCCCCATTATATATTTCTAATATTATGTATGATTATTGTGTTTATATATTGCCTGTTTTTGTTTTATTAACTTCGAGATTTATCATTACTAATGCTTTTCAGTTTAGTTATCCTAAATTAAAGAAGTTGATTAATCATTGGTGGGAAACAGAAATTGAAATTTTAGAGGAAGGAGATGGTCCGGGGTGGCGGTCATTAAAAGAATAAAATAGTGAAAAAACTGTTTTATTTCAAATCGACGTTTCGACCCGACTTTTTAGGGCTGGAATGAACAAGATATAGGAGGATATAGAAAATTGAGGAAGTAACATAAGGAAATATTGAAAGAAAAAGTAAAAATAATATGAAATAAGTGACTCAAAGGTCTGCCACATCGGACCATCTCCTTCCTCTAAAATATACAATGGTCAACCATCAATTATTCAAAAATGTAAATTGTTTTGACTTTCCTCTTAAAGGTTTTAAATCTATTTGAATTGCAAAATTTTCTGGAAGTAAACAAGAGATTTTAAGAATAATAGTATTAGAAATAATACGATGACAGATAAAGTGTCAAAATTTAAGTTAATCAATTTTAATTTAAGTTAAGCATAAATAATATTAGATATGATTATTTTAATTTTTTAAAAAATGAAGTTGATATATCTTAAAATGTTGATAACATGGAAAATCGAATGGGTGTTCAATCGATATTTATTTACTATGAAGTGAAAATGTTGGGAAAAGAATGCTAACTTTAAAAAAATGCGGATAATATGTAACCTAAATGATATAATTTCTATATTGGATTAAGAGGTGGTGAGATAAAGAAAAGAGTGGACAAGACTACCTCACCGCAATAGCGGCGCTATCTGTAAACCTTATCTGAACATTGTGTATAGACTTGTATCAACCAAGATGGTTGAAAGAGTAGTGCTTCGAAACTAGTACCACTTATTTTATCACACACATTTATTGTAGTTATAATTCTAAGGCACCTAAAGTCGATAAATTTATTACTCCGATTCTTCAATTTTTAATGATAGCAGCGGCACAGAAACGACAGATTGCTCAAAAACGACATCTATTGGTAGAAAGACTCATCTATCGAAATTTCATCTGGCCTGCAGTTTCATGAGGACTATTTTCGGCAAATTTGGACCTCTCGTTTTGGAATGGCAGACAAAGTTAATTTTAGTTAAAATGTTCCACACTTTCGTAATTTACATTCAAATTTTCGCCTGCGATGAGGTCCGTTTTTGTGACTGTGACTGATCTAAGCTAAACAACGTGCTACTTTTTACATTATAATACATTTTTTTTCCTGATTATATGTTTATTGATAAATATTATAATGTGTGTAATACATATACAGCTATTAAATACAACCGTGTCTTATAAAAAATATATGAAAAATTAACTCTAAAGTATTGTTTTTCGTGTAATTACATTTTTTTTTTAATTGGGCTTTAAGAATCACATAATTTTATATGGGTCGTTAGCTTCTTTATTTTTCTTCCAAAGTAATTATCGTTTTATATATATAAACTTTTCGGGCTGAAGCCCCCCATAATTAAATGTTGATGATATATACAATTGAACATGTTTGGCTGATGTGGCTTATATGTTAAATGGATTAGGAAGAAGGATTGCTGTCTAAATCTGAGAGTTGTGGCTAGGGTAGACTAAGTTATAATTTAGTGTTGACTTCATTAATATTGAATATTGTTTGCTATCACCATGTCACTTAATTAGTTTTATCAGGTTTCACTTTCAGCAAATTGGGATTTCTTTTTAATTTCATTTGAAAATTAATAATGAATCCAATACATATTTTATTTTCCTAAGGATTATCGAATAATAATAATAATGAAGTTGATACAGCAAACTTTTAATTTCATCATTTCAAGTTTCATAATAAAATACAAATGTATTTTATTTGATTATCTATTTCAGGTAACTGTTGCAGAAGTGCAGAGACGCCTGGCACCTCCGGAATGCCTCAACGCATCACTCCTAGGCGGTGTACTCAGAAGGTGGGTTGATGATAGATACAAGATTGAGATAAAATGAAAAACAATTCCATTTTGTAGCCGATCGGTGAAGAGTATAGTAAGGGCTCATCTCTTTCGTCCCCAGGCGGAGATGGAACATTCCTAATGAGTTGAATTTCCGTTCTGTCACGAATTATCGAAAACAACCCTCAACCGGATCCGGATATAAATCATTTTATTTCCGACTAAGATATGAGATATTGAAACGATTCAGCATTGCTTCTGCTTTCCTTAAGTTGACACCGATATAAATTATCATTTATACACACCGTTTCCTGTACGAAAAAAACCCACCGATTTATATATATTATTTATAGGGTTCCCTATAAATAAAGGGAAATATTCATTTTAGCGTTTAGTTGCAACATTTAGTTAATCGCTTAATACAATAAGGATCGTTTCCCATAAATGACATCTGTGTAAAACACACTTTTTCATTATAATTTTAGACGATGAATTTCTGAAAAAGTAGTACAATTTTTGCATATTTTTTATTAATAAAAAGTTAATTATCGTAATTAATTTATTATAACACCTCACAGGAACAAGAAATCTATGTTTTGTAATACTTTATTATTGCAGTTATTTTGGCTAAAATAATATCAAACCATACAATGTTTTACACACGGTGAATCTTTAAAGTTTATTTAAATAGTGGTCCGATTTTTTGCAGAAAAGTAGAAGATTTATGATTGGGTCATTCCATGCCAAATCATCCAGGGCCCGTAACCCACCCCCTCAGATCTTAATGAAAATTTGTAAATATTAATTAAATATACATTTAAGTAAAAATGCCAAATTTTAGGCAATTTTAACGATTAGTTTAAAAATTATGGGCCTTTAAACTTTTGAAATATTTGAAGTTAGGAAGACATTTTGGGCTCAAAACCATGTACCTGTTTGGTTTTCATATGTAAAACCAATATTTATAATTGTCATGAATTTAATACAAAATCTGCTGATACCATTGGTTTTAGCATTATAATTTTTCTTATGTAAGAAAAATTCTTAAATACAAATTTTCAAAATAGTGATAAAAATACCTAAAATAGCCAAAATCTTTCTCCAAATACCCCAAGACAACCATAAATTAATGAGAACAGCAAAAACTTCTCTATCAAGTGCAAAAATAATATTAGTGGGCTTTTGAGTTTGAAGAGTTTTATTTCACATTAACTAAATTGACATACACATAGATCCTTAATGCTGAGTGCCCTTGATTGTTACATATTTTATTATTATTATTGCAATAAAAAAATTATAGAAAAAAAGATTTACACGTGACAAATACAAGTGAAAATTGTTTAAATCTCTCTCCAAATATCCTAGTATAACTACATATCACTAAAAAGAACATGAAATATTCTATCAGATCATGAAATAATGTTTGTGAAATTTTGAGTTATAAAAGATTTATTATAATGTAAATCAAATAAGTTTTTAGGTGATGTGGAAATGGTATGCTAATCGATATCGAAAAATACCTTTAGCTAACATCCTCACCGAATATCCCCAATGCAACCATATATTAGTGAAAACTATTTGAAATTCTTTATCAAATGCAAAAATGATAGTGGGATTTTGAGTTTGAAGTGTTATATTACAATTTAAACCTAAGACATTAAAATTTAATTCATACCATCTGCGGTTATGATAAAACCATAAACTGTTCGGATATATACCAAAAGTACTGTATAAGAAATTTCACAGTGAAAAAAATAAGCAGCCTATGAGATTAGGAACCCAATAGAGCAATACAAATAAGGTTAACTTAACAAGAATTGTTCACAAGAGCCAACTGTGGTAAGAATCTTCTAAACACATTTTGACCTCTACCTCTAAATATTTTAGGAGTTATACACTCTCCAATTTAATAAATACAAACATTATTTTGTTGACCATACCGAGGCTTAAATTCGCAGAAATTATTTTATTTATTTTTATTATAATAAATCTCATTAAACTCAATTGGCTCCTCCAATATTATTTTATCATTTGGAAGAGTAATGCATGCAGTTTCAAGCAATAATGGTTGTACTTGGAGATAATAGCAATTTTTACCTTTATATATAAATGATAAATTAAAGTTTGATGTATTCAATGGCGTTAACAAATACAAATTCTACCTGCATTTGAAGTAAATTTTATCTAATTTAATATGAAATAATTATAATAATTATTAATTACTTAAATTAAATGTTTTTTTTTGTTATCGTTAATTTTTTTTTTATTTGTTTATAGAAAATATTACAATTTGTCTCAAAGGACATTTATAGTAGTGTTCAGAGATCACATTCACACTCTATGTACAATGATAAAAATAAATTATACAGAAAAATAATATATATATATATATATATATATATATATATATATATATACAATAAATAAGTATAAAATAACCTAAAAATAAATAAATAAAAAAGAGCACGTATATACCTATATACACTAGCGTTACCTCCTTACGTTTAAAAAAAAAAAAGTGAGAATTATTTGTTTAAAAACTTAAACTTCTTAAAATCGGACGATTCTTTATAGGAACTCTTTTGTTGCTTTTATAGGAACTCTTATTTAAATCACACTATCACGAGATAAATTTCATATATTTTCTCTCTACAAGTGCTTAATTTAGCAGATTTATCCTGCTTTTGGCAGACCGAAATTTTTGCATATTAATGAAAATGTAAGGAAAAACAATTTCACCATTTTACAACTTTATTATTATTTTTTTATATATGAGGCAGCGTTTCTGGCTAACTTGAGCACCTTTTAGTCTGCCGCTTTTAATATATTATTTTGCTTGTCATGTTTATACTAAAAACAAGTTCTGCTTCACATAATATAACATTTCGTCTTTGTCCGCCTATCCCTCATAAGACTCATCATCTTGATTGTCCATAAATATTTTCACTCTTAAAACATGCCAAACAGAGATTGCACTAGGACCAATGCTGCTTTTATAAAAAAAAAAAAAAAATAATAAAGAGGTTTTTAGTATAAATATTAAAAATAGCGGTTTGAAAATGTGCAAATTAATACGAAGTATTATAAAATAAGAAAATAAAAATAGGTTTAAAAGGGTGAAATCGTTTTCTTGACATTTCCATACAACAATAAATTAATGAATATTTTATTAAAGCAATATAATGTCGGTGACCTTGAATTTTATAAATATAAATGCCCTAATCAAGGAGCAAAGCTAAACAATGAGCGGATATTAAAATATAAATTTAAAAATTTTCCTTGCTACCACAATCTATCCTCTATTAATAATTTCTGACAAAAGCATCTCAAGGTTCTTTTTTCTTTTGAGTAGCCGGTTTCACTCATGTATTACTAATACCTCTAGCATTTCTAAGTATATTTAAGATATAGAAGGTTTCGAATGGTTTTATTAAATTAAGTGAAAAGGAACGTTAAGTATTCTTTGCAATAAAAGTTTCCTAGGTCATTGCAAATTATGGTATTGTAAAATGCCTAATCCACAATGGAAACAGGCGTTTCTTTAAGGAATAAATAGACTGCAATCATTGTCTTCTTTTCCAGGGCCAAATCTAAGAACGGAGGTAGGCTACTCAGGGAAAAACTGGAAAACATCGGTCTCAACCTCCCCGCCGGCAGGAGGAAAGCTGCTAACGTTACACTCTTGACATCTTTAGTAGAAGGTAAATATTTATTGACGTAATATGTTTAGCTCTTTGTTTCTTTATTTATTAAGTCTAATGTATACCCATCCATACTCCATCCCGCATGGAGTCAAAATAATAGGATTATGGAGTATCGAAAATGTATAGAGAATTAAGTCCCTCTCTCCCTGAATATCTATTAAAAATGGATATTCAAGTTTGAGATAATTCATAGCCTTTAAATGAGCTTTTATCTAACTTATCTATTGAATAATAAAAAATATGTCGTTTACCTGAATAGGATTGAAATGGATCCGAAATCATTTGGTATGAAAAATTTATTATATTCAAGTCATCAGCTATTGCTTTATCGACCGAAAATGAAAACAATTTTTTAAGGGACAGTAGATAATATAAAGGTATCATTTGATGATGAAAAGGAAGACTTTTGTGAACAGTTGGACAGAAATCTCGACGGTTCCACCAAGAGCTATATAAAGGTGGTCATGTGGGATTTGTCCTGTTGGACAGGTTATAGGTTTTAAGTTTTTCAGACAGGCTATAGGGAATTTTAGCCTCCATGACATTACAAGTGAAATTCACAAACTTCGCTGCTTCGAAGGAATTGGTCAAAAGAACGTGGTGGTCTCCGGGTGGTAAAACGGTGAATCAAATTTACCATATTTGATCACCAAGAGACAAAGGTGTAATTTCATCATCCGATCGAGGGGCTAATATGGATACCGACCATTACTTCATACAGATGCCTAAAACTAGGCGAACAACAGAGGAGTACAATGACAAAAGAACAGTTCCAATTTCCACAGAAATCTGTCAATACGAATAGATATTATTGGCTTCAACAGACACCATAAAAACTAATCATTGTGCCTCTCTAGGAAGTGGTAGTTGTATAAAGCACTCGATAAGCCTGACCTACTCTTCCGAGTCCTGGACTCTCAGGTGTTCAAAGGAAAGGTTTTAATGTTTGGGAGGAAAATCCTTCGCTACATATAGACCTATAAAGGACGGCAACAATTAGAGAAAATTAAATGCGGATGTTTACGGCCCCTATGGAGGTGCAGATGTGATGAGATACATAACATTAATCAGACTGCGTTATGCTGATCACATTGCACGAATTCCAGCTTCGGAGATCTCCGTAAAACCGCTGGAAGGAAGACCAGTATTGGACCAGAGGAAGAAGCAGACCGCGATTAAGATGGGAAGGTACAGTAAGGGACGCCCTGACCTGCTGGGCATCCACAGCTGGCATGAGAGTGTAGAGGATAGATTGACCTGCCGGATACTCAATACGCAATGAGGAGGACAAGGATCGTAAAGATCTGTAGAGCCACATTAGTTGCAATAGCTATAGTATAATCTTTATAGTCTCGCATGAGATGAATTCCTTATAGAACTATTGAATTCCTTAAAAATTTTTCACATTTTCAAATCTAGATTTTCGATATACAAAAAAGTCAAAATCATAATTATAGCAGCTCCCAGTGATACCAATCTATTGAACAAAATCTATCCTTGGATCTAAAAACACTCGTCTCCGAGAGAAAAAATTATATTGTTCCAATTGTTATTTTTTAGAAGGATTGATTTTCCAAAAGCTCAATGGGGTTAGTTACATAAGATCGTGATCTTGAATTAAGAAATTCTCTGAATTAACTAATAAATCTTAAAAAATATAGGTATCAATTGGGAGAAAAATGACTCAATTAATTAGTTGAAAGCAAAGTTGCCTAGACGGTTTTCTCCGGAAATAGAAATATTCCAGGAATTTGAGAGGAAGAAATACAAAAATATAAATATCAAAATTTCGGCATCTACTATTATGTTTTCAAAGTATATTATTAAATATTTTTGAATAGTTTACAGCAGATAAATTCATTAGCCCCTCAAATCTCTACCTGTATATGGGATACAAAAATGCTGGGAAAGGAGTGTTAAAAAGCGGCAAACCAATGAGTTGGGGGTAACTGAAAGAGGCTCCGTGTCCAACAATAATCGTGACAATACTCAATGGATTGGCCCGTACAAAGAGCCTGTCTTTTTTTCCCTAGGAGCAAACAATAGCTGTAGGCGATGAAGTAGCTCTATGTTAATTAATCCTGCTACACTTTGTAGTGCCCGTGTCAGATTCTGACCATTTGCTTGTTTCAGTGACTAGTCTTATGGCTTTTGTAAATAATTAAATAATGAAATATGTTATAACATGTTACTTTATTACCAGGATAACATTCGTTACGAGAATAAATTAATTTATATTTTTCTGCTGCTGTTCTTTAACAATAATTCCAATGAGTAATGATGCAGATTAATCGTGATTACAAGGTGAAAACAATATTTATTTAATACAATCGTTCAAAAAGAAAAACAAAATTATTGTGCATCCATATGAAACATTAAAGCAATAATAATAATTACTGTTAATTTATATTGATTACTCTATACTTACTTACCTTCTCAGTGACCTCTCATCATAGAAAATTAATTCGATGATAGACATTTTTTTCTTGACCAAGGAAACCAACTGATTTATTTGAAACAAATATTGTCCCGAAGCCGAGAAAATGTTAACATTTTAGTTAATCTTTTCAGAGTCAAGATACATCTCAGTCCCCCTACAAATGTAAACTGTTATACAATAATAAACTGTCCTTTAATTTAAAGTAAAGTTTCTCTAGTTTATTACAAAGCAAATGTAAATTACCTAAATGGAAGATTTTATTAATTATCGCTTTCTATTAAAGAAAAAAAAAACGTGAATTACTTAGAAAAACACAAAACTCAAATTTGATCCTTTTCTGTGGATAAAGGGGCCTTTATTTCAACTTTTTTGTAGCTATTGAGGCGCCTCACCATTTGAAGTATTTTTCTTTACTTACAGGACACCCTTTATAACATATTAAATGTTAATACATTTTTACAATAGTTATATCTAAGATGTGTTATAATTAGGGCATAGGGCCAATGTCTATTTTTCTAAAAGTTTAATATGATGGATGTGTTGATTAGGAGAAGCTATACACCTGGCCAGAGATTTCGGCTACGTCTGTGAAACGGAATTCCCGGCCAGGCAGGTCGCTGAGTATTTGACCAGGCAACATGTTTCTGATCCCAGCGATTCATACAGGCGAAAGGAGCTTGTACATTCTGCCAAGTTAGTATTACACATTACTAATTTTTATGTATTTCTAATATTATTCACATGTTTAGTCTGATAAATTTTAACACTTTATGATAAATGAGCTGAAGTTACTCTAACATTTATTGCATGAGTTGTTTATCTAAGAAAGCTCAATTAACAACTCAAGTATCATTTATAGGGTAAATTTTTTTTTTTTTCATTGTAAGGCATTGCCCGCGTGACTTGGAGGATACCTCAATTTGGCCCGCTGAATGCCTTGTTAGGACAATGAATGTCTCAATAGTTGGCAAGAGAACACTTGGATAGCCAAAAAGTAGATGAATATATCGAATCAACAAAAATGCTGAAAAGCTGAATTCAGATAACTAGTAAGAAATACTCTAAGATAGAGAGAGATGGAGAAGGCTGGTTAAGGCGGCAAACGATGTACAAGGCCTCTAATGCCAACAGTAATAAAACATTAAATAAATGTATTTAGTTAATAGAGTGGTTGATTCATAAGATGCTTGTGTTGAAAGAACTTAATTGTATTTACATAATCTTCTGGATATTAATAGAATACAAAAATCTACCCATAACACGAATACAAAATAAAATTTTAAAAACAGTATGAATATTAACAATTTCATAGCTTTTGTCGATTTCTTGTTTCTTCTATTTCGATCATCTATGCCATCAGTTCTACATCCTCCTAAAAATCTTCACCAAGTCATCAACAGCAACCTCTTTCTTCTAAAATCAATGAGGCACCTACTCTCTTGAGAATAACTCTTCAGGATTGATTGGGAAACATTTTAATAATATTGATGGACTTCAAACCTAGCCTAACCTAAATTCTTCAAATGTAAGAAACTGTACAGCTTTTCTTCCTAATTTCTGATTGGGTTACCATCAACTCAAAATAATATAAATGTTCTAAATTATACGTAAGACAAGACATAGAGTAAATTTTATAGCACATCACGTATCTTGCGATATAAATTTTCTGTTTTATTTGTACTTATATAGATTTGATACTAAGTTAATCTGTTATATTCCATTTATATGTATTTTAAATAATATCTTTTGTTCTTTAGTAGTAGTCACTTTTGTAGTAGCAATAAAACTCTGGCACAGCTTTTGGTGTAGATTAGGTGTATGAGGTGTTGGGGTAAATTATTATTCTTAGGTTCCATATTGCTTATTGAAAGGTGGTGGTGAAGGAATGCTTGGTATTAATTTCAAACCTAACTTTTTGGTAAATAGCTTTTGGATAATACCCGTTCAAAGAATTGATCATTCAACAATTTCATTCTGGGAGCATCCAACACACTAGAGAACTAATATTTAGCAATTTTATTGCAAAAGATAATTTTATTAAAAATTTAGGACCATCCACTATAAAATATCCTTATCAAATTTTCTAGTTCTATATGCACAGGGTGTTTCGTAATTGCATTTTATTTTAGGTATGTGTTCACTAACATATAGATTTAAAAAAGGCTTACGATTCTATTGACCGCCAGAAACTGTATAATATTCTAATCGAGCAGGGGATTCCAAAAAAACTAGTAAATCTAGTCAGGATGTGCTTGACGGAGACACTCAATAAAGTTAGAATCGGTAATAATTTGTCCGAAAAATTTGAGATTCGTTCGGGCTTAAAACAGGGGGATTCTCTTTCGCCTGTCCTGTTCAATTTGGCATTAGAACATGCCATTAGGGAGGTAATGCGAACCGAGAAAGGGTTGGATCTGGGCGGGACAACATCCGTGCTGGGCTATGCTGATGATCTGGTACTGTTAAGCGAAGACGTTGAAACTATAAAACTAAATACGACAACGTTAATGAAAGCCGGTAAAGAACTAGGACTCGAAATAAACGTGGATAAAACAAAATATATGCTTAGCTGCAAAAATGGCGATACTACTGGTGATATCGATATAGATGGTAATATTTTTGAACAGGTAGATAAATTTAGGTATCTAGGTTCTACGATAACTAGAAAAAACGAAATTGAAGAAGAGATTAAGGTTAGACTGAAGGCGGGAAATGCTTGTTATTTTTCTGTGACAAAACTACTTAGTTCGCGCCTCTTGTCCCGAAACTTAAAAATTAGAATCTATAAAACAATTATCTTGCCTACAGTTCTTTATGGATGCGAAACTTGGCCGCTTACATTAAGGGATGAGCAGCGTCTTAAGGTTTTTGAAAATAAAGTATTGCGTAGAATATTCGGACCGAAGAAGGATGAGTTAACCGGAGAGTTCAGACGGTTACACAACGCCGAATTGCGTGAGCTGTATCCGGGTAATATAATTGAGGTAATTTCATCGCGGCGAATCAAATGGGCTTGTAAAGTTGTTGGGCTTAGTAACGAGAGAATTCCTAAAAGGTTAATATTTGCTGTGCCGAATGGTAAGCGTCCGAGGGGTAGACCGAAGCGAAGGTGGGAAGATTGCATTAAAGCCGATTGAAGGGACTGGGTTTGGACGGCGAACGGTGGAGGGAGGTGTGTAACAAGTGATTGGTGGTGTCGGCATCGAACCTTCGGGTTCTCTAAGCCTTATTATTATTAATATTATGTGTTCACTAACACAAAATAAACAAAAAAGTTCATATCAACATATATCTCAAACTCATTTATTAAACAGATATCAAAGGTTAAAGATTTATTATAACTATTTTATATTATTATTACAACAATTTGAACAACTGTTCAAAGGGGCCTCCGTTTTGTTGAATGCAACATTCAGCGCGACGAATTCATGCTTCTCTGGTTCTTCATATAGCATCAGGATGGTTGATAGTTACTATGGCTTCCATGATCCGATTTCATACCTCTTCTTGCGTGCCAACTGCCGCAGAATAAACTATAGACTTCATCCAGCCCCACACAAAGTAATCTAATGGCGTTAAATCCGAAGATCGTGGTGGCCATTTAAGAGGTCCGTTTCGACCAACTCATCGGTCTCCATAAGTTGCTTTTAAATAACCAGTGAGACTATTAGAAAAGTGAGCTGGAGCACCGTCATGCATAAATCACAGCCTTTGCCTAATGTCTAGCGGAATATCTTCTAGTTCATGAAGATTATTTTGCACAAAATATAAGTATGATATACCTGACAGCCAAGGTGGAAAAAAGAAGGGGCCGATTATGTTGTCGCTTAGATGACCACACCAGACATTTAAAGAAAAGGTATGTTGGTAATGTCCAGCAGCAGTCGTATGAGGGTTTTCTTCAGCCCAAGTATGGCTATTTCAAAAATTAAGAATCCCGTTTCTTGTAAAGCATACCCTACACGGTTATTCATGAATGAACGTCACAAGAAGTGCCAAGATTGCCCGCTATCGCTTTGATCATGAAGACCCTTACACGTTCAATCATTGCTGATCATTACTTATGTGAAGTTTCCACTTTTTTTTCTCTCCAATTTATTGCCTACTTGACTATTTAAAGAAAAAATAGTTGAAAATGGTTAATAATAATATAGACTAGGGATATAAACAACTATTTACTTTTATGAAATTATTTACTTAATAACGAGACCTAGGTAAACTAACCTATCTAGTAGTAAGGTTAGTCTCATAGAAAATCATTTTGACAAAAGTTAGTAAAATATAAGTTTACTACTTACAAAAATTAAGGAAAGGTATTGCGAAATTAATAAATTTGTTGAGGAAAATGGGAAAAGAACTGATAAATATACACAACGTTAAAGTTTTTTTTTTCCTAAAGTAAATTGTGAAGTTTTCTTTTTTTTTTTTAATTTGTTGCCCACTTGACTATTTAAAAGAAATAGTTGAAGATGGTTTAAAATTATAAACAAGGGATATGAAAAATTATTTAACTATTTACATATAATGAAAATCAGAAATTTATAATGGTTGTGAGGCCTAGGTAACCTAACCTATCCAGCAGTATGGTTAGTCTCCCCATTACTTTTACCTCAGTCCCCCCTCCACTTCTCGTGAATGAACCTTTGATTTCCGGATGTTCGGAAATCCGCAGCGCACCACCATCAGTACTTCATTCACTACCTTACACAATTCGGAACGTCATTAGTGCAATTCCGATTGACCGTGTAGGGTCCCCTTAAAGCAGTAGCCAATCAGTAACCAAAATGCAGTTGAGGAAGTTAGGATCCTGTGTGCATTGTCGAATTAACCACTGGGAGAAATTTCTGCGCTTGTTATAATCTTGTGGTAACAAATCTTACCTACTCCGTACGTAAAGTGGATACAATTTTTGTTCGCGTAAAGTTGATGTTATGTAGACTGGATGTTATGTAGTAATGTGATATAGTGAAAATTGTTTAGTTAATATTTATTATCGGTTCTATTTATTGTATTTCAGGCAGATGATGAAGGAGCTGATAGAGCTACTCAACCAGGACAGGTCCCCGCTGTGCAACACGAGGCCGCAGCAGATCCTCGAGCCGGCCATACAGCGCAGCCTCACTCATTTCTCCCTCATCAGCCATGGCTTTGGAACCCCGGCTATAGTCGCCGTTCTCACTGCGGTGCAGGTGCTCATTTCTCCATAAATACATCTTTTATTCTATTGGATAGTTAGATCATAAATTATAACTTTACATTTTTTGTTCGTTTAGAATTATTTGTCTGAATCATTGAAGCAGCTGGACAAAGCTTACCCAAGTGGCAGTAGTATGGATCCGAAAAAAGATGACGGTAAGGAAAATAATTTATTTAAGTGATTTTTAATAAACATTAAAATTCGTTACAACCTATCTATGGACGGTTTATGTGGTTGTGGTTGTGACGATTGAAACAATCCTGTATAAAATAATATGTTAAAAAAAAATTTATGACAAAACCATGTACCTGTGGATAAACGACTAAGGATCGAAAGATGTAATAATAAATTGTTATGAGGGTGACATCCTGTGTTCATGTGGATAGGTTCCGCGGCATGTTAGTATACAATGTATAATTTTTAATAAACATTTACATATATATATATATATATATATATATATATATATATATATATATATGTATGGGGCTGGGATAGCCTTGCGGGCTAAGGCGCTTGCAATAGGTAATCAAAGTTAAGCAACGCCGAGCGTGGCTAGCACTTGGATGGGTGACCGTCCACCAAGGAAAGCCACGCTGCCCGAGATCTCCCCCCCCCGGGTATGTGAGGCCCGTCAGACTACTGGAGGCAACTCACACCGACCGGGCGTAGGATTGATGACCCTACCCCGTACTTTAAATCGGAAATCGGGATGTGGTATAGGAGACCACACTCGCGGTCAGAGATCTTCATGGTCTGTAGTGCCAACCGAAAAAAAAAAATATATATATATATAATCAATGATCTTAGAGTATTATATTTAATTTAAAGGCACAAGTTTTCATCAAGATATGCCTTCTTTTTCTTGTCTTGGCTTTTTGCATTGTTTGGAACATAACATTTTTTTTTTTTTTTTTTTTGTTTATTTAATGGAATTTACAACTGTATACAAATACAACAAGTAAATATGTGCAAATATAAATAATAGCATGTACAGGCTTGAAGAGTTACTACCCAGTGGTAGCACTCTCTAAATAATTTTAAGTAAGAAGATCACGAGGCCATCTCCTTTTCAGACGCCTAGGAGGATTATCAGGAATCGAGAAAGAAGCAAGAGTGGAAACAAGCGGATTTGGATGGGACTGAAGTTTATCATGAAAGGATAGATATCTGGCTCGAGCTAAATCAGCGACATATGGTACATTAAGGTCTTTATGAATGGTTTTATTTGTGACAAAGTATGGAGCATTGAGGATTTTACGGAGGATTTTGGATTGTAAGGATTGGATACGATAGGAATTCGATGGTTTGGTGGAGCCCCAAAGCTCAACTCCGTATGTCCATATAGGTCTTATTATAGTTATGTAGATAAGTCTTTTGTAATTAATAGAAAGTTTGGAGCGTTTGTCTAGTAAGTGTTGGAGCAGTCGGAAACGTCGAGCAGTTTCTTGTCGTTTCAGTCTAGTATGAGGATTCCAAGTAAGACGTTTATCCAAATGGAGTCCTAAGTAGCGGATTTGCTCAACAGGAATAAGTGGAGTATTATTGAAAGTTACTGTAGGACAAGACGTCATAGGTTTACGACGGAGGGTAAAGGTGATTTGATGGGATTTGTTGGAATTTATTTTTATTCTCCAATTTTTACACCATTCTTCAAGGCTTGTGATATGTGATTGAAGAGTTTGGGATGCAATTAAAGGATCGTTATTAACAGATAGCAAACATGTGTCATCGGCGTAAGTGGTGATGACAGTGTCAGGATGGGTTGGGATGTCAGCTGTATAAACTGTGTAGAGGATGGGACCGAGGATACTACCTTGTGGAACGCCTGCAGATTGAGCAAAGAGGGATGAGAAGACATTATTTTGGTTTACTTTGAAGTATCTATCAGTAAGATAGGAGCGGATAATGAGGAAGTATGTAGGGGGTAGGACTTTTCGGAGTTTGTACAGAAGACCCGGGTACCAGACTCGATCAAACGCCTGTTCAACGTCGAGAAAGACTCCCGTGCAGTACATACCGCGCTCCAATGCAGAGGAGACTACATCAACCACACGGTGACATTGTTGGATAGTGGAATGCGATGTGCGGAATCCAAATTGGTGATCAGGGATAATATGATTAGAGTCTAGGATGGGATACAGGCGTTTTAGGATGAGTTTTTCCAGGATTTTGCCCATGATAGGTAACAGAGAAATAGGACGGTAAGAGGATGGGTGTTCGGGTGGTTTTTTAGGTTTGTGTAACATTTTGACAATAGATATTTTCCAAGAATCAGGGAAATATGTGGATCGGAGCACAGCATTGTATATGTAAGTGAGGAATAGGATGGCTTTCCGAGGAAGAAGTTTTAGGATCTGGGAAGTGATAAGGTCGTGTCCAGGAGCTTTTCGGGAAGGTAATTTGTTGATGATATTAGATATTTCCGAAGGATGAAATGCTTTAGGTGGAAGAGTCATTTGGAGTGGAATATCCAGTTCTGCTTCAATACATTCAATTTGATGTGGATTAAGGATATCAGGATGTGGATTAAAGGTTTGGAAGAGGTATTGACCGAATAGTTGAGATTTTTCTTCATCGGATTTGGACCAGGTTTGGGATTCAGTTAATAGTGGATGGTTAAAGTCTTTAAACTTTAGTATCTTTTTTGTGGTCGTCCATAGAGATTTGTCAGTAGTTGTAAGATTATCAGTTAGGTTAAGTAATTTTTGTGTTTTGAATTTTCTAATTTCTATTTTTAGTTTGTTAGTCAATTCGTTATAGTAAGTTTTATCTGAAGGATATCTAGTCCTATGCCATTTCGGTCTTGCTCTGCGTTTTTCTCTTAATAAGATTCGAATATTTAATGGCAAGTTACTATATCGTGAGTTATTGCTTTTATTGATGGAAGTATTATCATTTATACTAATAGCTATTGATGTAGTGAGTTTTTCTATGGATTTGTCAATGTCTTGTTTTGTCTTAAGCGGAATTTTTAAGTCCAGTTTATTTTCCAAATCGTGACGAAACTTGTCCCAGTCTACTCGTCCTGTAATCAATTTCGGATGTGAGGGTTTAGGAACGAGATTTGAATGTAATAATAGCAGAACTGGACTATGATCTGATGAAAGGTCATCCAGGGATTTTATTGTGGTCAGGGAAGAGGAAATCTGAGAAGTGATAAATATATCTAGGATATCAGGACGTTTTTTAAGGGATGTTGGCCAATATGTTGGATTCATGGGCGAGAGGATAGAATAACTATTAGAAGATGAGACATGAGATAGGATATTACCACGGGAATTGGATGTTCGACAACCCCATCGTTGGTGTTTAGCATTGTAGTCTCCTCCAGCAATAAAGCGTGATCCGAGTGATTGGAATAAGGAATCAAGAAGGCCATGAGAAGGGAATTTCCAGGAGGACAGTATACAGCTGATAATGTAAGATGGAAAGGGCGAGTTGATAGGATTACCGAGGTTGATTGAATGGCGTCAGTTGGGGTGGAAGGGATTAGGGAATGAGATAAGGATTTATGGATAAGGATGCAAGAGCCTGCGTGGGAAGTGTTATCTGGATGGTCTGATCTGTAAGTGATGTAGTCAGTTATGTAAAAGTTTGATCGTTGTGTGAAATGAGTTTCCGTCAGGAGGGCAATGTCAATGTAATTGTCATGAAGAAATATGTCTAGTTCGTCACGGTGGTTTTGTAGTCCATTAGCGTTCCATAAGAGAATAGCTAGGGGCTTTTTGTTCATCGAGGAAAATTGAATGGGATTTCGGAAAGGAATCTGGTTAGAAGGGTTATGAGTGGTTTGATAGTCTGTTGAAGGTCTATCAGGAATGCTGATAGGATAGAATTGATGTCGGATGATGTTTGGCTTTGAAGGATCTGTGGATTCGGATCAGGAGGAGGTTGTGGTTGGTGATTTGTTCGATTAGGGTTATTGGTAGGGGGTTGGGTCCGTTGTTGGGTACGAGGAGTTGGTTGAAATTTCTGAGGTACATATGATGGTGGGTTCATCTGGAGATTTGGATGGGATTGTGCTGGATGCGGATGCTCCGGCGGAAGTTTGACCGTTAGGGGAAGATAATGAGGGGGGATTTGTTGACGTGGAGGTTGATGCTGAGGATTAGTGATTTTAGGTTTGGATTTGAAGGTCTGAGGCGCCTGACGCCGAGGTTGCTGCTTGATGATAGTGGTTTGGGAGTGTTGCTTGGTGGATTCTTGTTGAGGAAGGTCCGTTGATACAGTGGTCGATGGCCGTTGTTGGACGATTTGCGGTGTTGACGGCAGTACTGGGAAAACATCCAGATTTTCAATTTCAGGCGGTTCTGTGTTACTTTTCTGAACAAGGTTCTGGCTTCTTACTGCTATATTATGGGATCTTTGCTTGTGGAGACTTTTATAAACCTCACAACCTCTATAGCTCGCAGGGTGGGCTTCACCACAAAGAGTACATATCGCAGGTTCGTGCCTTGGTTTCTGACAAGTGTCTGATGCGTGTGAACCTGCACATTTCACACATCTGGCCTCGTGAAAGCAGTAGGCTTTGGTATGTCCCAGATTTTGACAGTTTGTGCACTGCACTACTATGGGCTTCTGTCTAGGTTCCTCAAAACGGACTGTTGAGTATACTAATCTCGTTACCTGAAATATTTCGGAATTGTTTTTTGCTGGCTCCAGATCCACGAAAAATAGTGGTAACGGATATTTTTCCCTGGGATGTAATACGGGTGAAATATTTCTGACACTGTGGCCTATTTCTTCCAATCCGATTTTAATAGCGTTTGTGGTGGTACTTGAATGCAGACCTCTCAAGATTACTCTATACGCTTTTTCCTGTCTGAGTTGATAGCAGTGGAATTGGTATTTTCTTGATGTAAAATGCTCGATGAGTTTTTAAAAGTTTTCTTTAGAGTTAGTGTTTATTTTTATATCATTAACTCTTTATATCATTAAATTAGGCTGTCCTATCCAGTCAGCAATTTCTTGCCCGAAGGACATAAAATTTTCAATTTTTGATACAAAAATAGGTGGTGGTTCTGGATCCGAAAATGTTTTTGGCTCCTGAGTTTTATTTGATGAAATATTGGTAGTAACAGAATTACTGATTGAGGTGGATGGTGGAACTGTTTCTAATTTGTTGGCTGCAGTGGTTTTACTGCGGGTGTTTGGTGTAGATTTGCTATTTTCAGATATTTTTTTTGATTTGATAGCTTTATTTTTTTTCTTAGTAGGTGAGTTACCCGCCGATCCGGGGCAGAATTTCTATTGCGCTTTTGGAGTGTTCTTCTTTTTAAATATTGCGAATCTGTCTCGCTTATTTCGGAAAATGGTGTCTCTTCCTCCGATTCATCACCCGACGTATTAACAAGATCCATGATAACAAAATAATTAAAAGTCTATAAAAGTTATAATGAAATTAAAATGGAAATAAAAGAAATTAATTCTTAAAACTAAGTTATTTACAAAAATATTTACAGGTAAAATAAAACATTTCTCAACGTACATAAATAAATAAGACTAAAAGTCTCAAATAAAAATAATTGAAAAAAAAAAAAAGAAAAAAAAAAGTTCTTAGATACGAACTCGATATCACTCGAAGGAAGGAATGTTGGTACCAGGCGTTGACCGTGAATCTATCTTGATATGATAAGACCCGTAAAGGGAATTATCGGCCAGCTGAGCTGTTTCTACCGAACGTATATCAATTAAATAGTCAACATAATTTTAATAAATGTCTCTCACCTCAATATTTTAATGTGGTAATGTTCAAATGTACAAAAGCACACTATTCACACTGTATAGCAGCAGGAATTGAAGCATTAACCTGATGAAAAGGGAACGACAGAGCGATGCAAGCATACGACTGTAATTGCGGCCATCCATAACATTTTTTAGATATAAAAACTATAGTCATTTATTGTCTTTAGATTATTCATTTACAACTTCTTTAATATTTTTTTTAGGAACTTGGGATCTCAATGATCCAATACTGTGCAGGAGTTGCTACTGGTTCTATTAAGACAAGAAATACCTACTATTTAGCAATCTTTGGGGAATATTTGTAGACTTTTGTAACAATATTTACTTTTTCTGTTCACAGGTATGAAGAAATGATACAACGTCCAACCCCACCTCAACATTCGACACAGTTGGCCATTTGAGGATGATGCTTAGCATAAAAATGTATTGGTCAGTTTAGTTGCCATCGTTATGGTGCTTTATAGGAGAGGGGGGTTGGGAAATATGTAAATCTACAATTTATCTTATGTCTATAATTGTATATAAAGCAATTCATGCGAACATGTCTACCAATGTCATTTTTACAGAATGATATATTTAATAATATCCAGTATTGAAGTTTAGTGGACTATCTCCACAAACAGCCAATTCTTTTGTGCCATTTTATGTTCAATGTACTTAATCATGTGCCAATGAATTGAATATATGTGTGAGTATGTGTGTGTGTATGTATGTGTGTGTGTGTGTGTGTGTGTGTGTGTGTGCGTCCGTGCGCACGTGTGTGCGTTAGCGTGTTTCTGTTATTTAAGTTAAAATAAGACAAAAATGATATAATATACAATTGTAATAAACTAGATCGACGAAATAAATCACTTTGAAATTATTTAATATTTGTAAATAAATTAAATTTTTCAATATCAATGTGAAAGAAAACTGTAGTGGCAATATTCATGCAGACAATTCCATATAAATAACTGGGCATTAGAGTGAGTAAACCAACAAAACACATTAATTACTAGTTGATAGTTCTCGGTGGTCCGGGCCATGGAATATGGAAGAGGGTGAAGAATTTTAAAGGGTAGTTATGAAATTATACATTTCTCATTCTTTCATATCTTTTTATTGTTAGATAATTACGATTAATCTAATTTGGATCAAACATAAATCTATAAATGTTAATATGACCGTTTTTGTAAAAAAGGACGATCGCAATACATCAAATGTGACAATGAATAGTTAATAGGAAGGAATCCTAAGACTGCAACTAAATATGCTGGCAAGAAAAAGGGAAATTTTCGAGGATTGTTTCATTAGAGTCGCTTTTTAAAATCCCTCCTGGGTACCCGTCACGGTGGTAAGCATCCAACACATCTTAACACATTCCTAACGCATCCTTGTTACAAGTTTCTCTATCTAAAGTTTAAAAATGTAATTATTAGTGATGACAATATATAGCTCAAGGGATAGAAAATATAGAGTAGTCTCATAACTACTCGGAGTTCATTAGTTTCAAAATAAGCACTCTTCTTGCCAAGTTTAGAAGTTGTAGCGACACATTCATTAGCAACACCTTTCGTTTTAAATTACTCAGATATACGACTGGGACATTGCAGGTAAAACAGGTGCCATACTTAGTTGCTACAACGAAAATATCTTAAACAATAACAAATCTCTACTATAAGGCAGAAGTGTTCAGTTTTGGATCGATAATACTGGTACTGGTAATGGTGGGGGAACTAGTCCGGCTAGTAAACCCTATAGTGGTCCTTTTTGCCAACCCATGACGGCTACCTTGAGATTGCCGCCGCGTACTTGCCAGAGTGGGAATGTCACGATCCATTTCCCGTGACTGCCGAGAAATTAAAAGTAACCGATTCAGGTGGGAACCGTACCCACAACGTTTAGAACCGGGCACTCTGGAACCCAGGCCCCAACATGCTTGGCCATCCCATACTTTTGGATTGATATTTTCAACATATCTAATTGCAATCAGACAGGAGTGCTCCCCAAGATCGATGACGGAAGAACCTTAACCCTCCCCCAAGATAATTTATTGCTCTCCTCTTTTTAAAAACAGTGCAAGCGAAAAAATAATTTTAAAAAATTGTAGATCATATATACTTGCTGCGGTCTGTTCCTTGTTTTCTCTTTCCATGTTATAACGTTTTATTCCGAAAATCCATAACCCCGTTGAAATCTGTCCCCTCTAATCAGGCAACCTTTAACGATTTTTTATCACGGCGTTTGATGTGTTGTACATCAGAAGCCGTTAATCTTAATTATATGCTTTACGTGTTAATACGTAAGCAAATAATATTTTGTAAAAACCATTAGTACACACTAATACATTACACCAATGAGATATATTTATTTAAATGATCTTACTTTTCGTGATCGCATTCTGTTTATTTTTTAATCACCTGTGATTAATACACAATATAATATATTTAAACTAAAAGAGTATTCCAGTATTTAACTATCACTACTTATAAGCTACTCCAAATTATCTCATCCAGTATTTATTTCATTAATACTCTAATAATACTGTATAAATTTTACATTGATACGGTTAAATTATTGATTCCTGCAATCTCTACCCAAAATATGTTACAAAAAATGAAGTATCATAACTTGGGAATAGTGGAACCACAGGGGGTGATTTGGCACACAACCGAAAAAAAGTAAAAGAAACATGGTCAAGTGAATTAATAAGAGCGAATTCGGTCTCATTAAACCAAGTTTACGAACTAGGGTAATTTATTCAATTGAAATTTCATTTAAAGTGATACCTGGAGGCTGCATATCGTAGTGCACTGTCCCTTTCCTCTTATCGGGGGGTTTCTTCCTTACAGGTTCTCCTAGCTCATTCCCCTCGGCCCCCTCTCAATATTTAAAAAAAAAATAAAATAAATTTTATTAAATAAATTCTTCTTTGATTTTTAAGCCACAAAAATTTCGATTTCACTAAACATAAAAGGATAACTAATTGATTAACGATGACGATTAAGAAAGCAGAGGAAGTATTATCTTTCCTTCGTAAAAATTCTCTAATGATTCTAAATATCAAATGCTATAAAGGTATAGTAACAAATACTATTTCATCTTTTTTGAAATTATGTTGCCATGTATTTTATGAAGCAATAAAACTATTGTAAAATACTTAGGTGTGGGACATAAAGCTATTGTTATTTTTTTTATTCTCGTTAGCTAATTAAGTGATATAATTATCAAGCATGGCAACTATACAGGATCTATTATTGAAACCCCATGATGATTTACCGACGATCATATAAAACCCTTTTATTAAAACAATGTACTTAAACACATTTTAAAAGAATTAATATTAATATGATTTCGAAAACATATAAATCTATGTTTTAAATGAATTTTACCTCTAACGCCTGGTTATTTTTTATTATAATGAATCATGTGAATAAAATACAATGTAAACCAGATTTGATTTGATTTTATTATTTTTTCTGTAAATAAATTGTTATACTTACATCTTTTTTAAATACATTAAATTAAAAAAGTAATATTTTCTTCATCCTTTTCTTCATCACTCAGAAAAAAAAGACTAAATCAGAGGAGAAAATAATCACTATAAGGTAATGACATAAGTATGTATATATATAATCTAACACCTAGCTATTTTTTATTATAATGAATCATGTGAATAAAATACAATGTAACCCAAATTTTTTGTTTCAATATTTTTTTTTGTAAATAAATACTCCCCAAGGCCTACACAAATGACGGCACTGTTTATATATATATATATATATATATATATATATTATAAAGATTGTTTGTTGTTTTTATTCTTTTTTTTCTATCTATAAGATTATTTATATTTTCACAAATGTATTCATTCATTTTTCATTTTTTACATTCTTTAATTTGTATATATATATATATATATATATATATATATGCATTTATCTTTTCCTATCTTACTCTCCGTGTTTGTTTATAATTTACAATACTATTGCGTATTGTATAGCATACGTAAATAATTTATTTTCGTTTAATTAGTTTTTTTTTCTTTTTGTCGCAATTGCTTTCTCATAAAATTTAGTTAATGTCTCTTCCCAATTGTATTTATCTATTTATTCTTATTTTATATCTCTTATGTCAGGATAATGCAATATTGTGATCCCCTTGCTCATCTTTTTTTATTAATATGTCCTTACTAGGTATAAATTTTGTATGTTTTAACATTAACATTAAAGTATTGAAATTTTATTTACGTGCTTTTGATATTTTTTCTTTTCTAGAGGTTTTACTTTTTCTTTCTATACATGTAATTCTTTACTTTTTTTTTGTCGTTTTTCCAGTACAATTATAAGTATAGTTGAGAAGATTTTATTTTATTTTTTAGTTATTTACATACTATTATTTAAGTTTGTTGTTTATGTTGTTTGAATCTTTATTAAGTTATTAAGTTTTTGGCCAGATATGTATTTTTCTTTTGTAACTGTTTATTATTGTTATTCTAAGGGGACATCGTCCCAGAATAAAATTTATTTTCTATTCGCTTTCTCTCTCTATATATATACAGTGGCTCACAGTCAAATGAATCATCTGGATATTGATAGAAATTATTGAATAAATAAATCTTCTAATTTATATTACATTGAAAGCAATAGTTTATTATAATCAATAAACATTCTAGTAATTGTAACAGTAATATGTTTTTTTCTGAAGTTATTTTTCTTGTTCTTATGATATGTTATGTTTTATGTACTTTTCTTATGTTCTGTTTCTTCGTGCGGGGGTGTATCGCGGCTTCTGGTGTTGGAAATCTTCACTTTGTAGATGGTATAGTGAACAGACATGTTTGTATAGACATTTTTAGAAGCAACTTGAAAGAAAGTGCGGAAAATCTGGGGCTTCAAACAATATTTAGTTTTTATTAGGATAATGACACAAAACACACTGCTATGTTAATTAAGGAATGGCTACTTTACAAGTGCCCCAAAGTAATAAAAACTCCACAGTGATAGAACACCTGTGAGCAAAAGTAAAGGTAGACATCAGAAAACACGAAATGTCTAGCAATAAAGACTTAAAAAAATATCTCCCCGAAGATTGGAACAGGCTAAGCCCAAAATTCACAAAAAAGGTACTGAACATTTTTTTTTTCTTTCTTAATGATTTCTTAATGGTATTTACAACTGTATAAAAAAAATACATTTAGTAAATTTGAACATATGGATATAATGACGTAAACATACTTGTTGAGAAACTACCCAATGGTAGCACTCTAATGATATGACATTAGGAGATCACGGGGCCATCTTCTTTGCAGATGCCTCGGAGGGTTATCAGGAATTGAAGAGGAAGCAAGGTTAGAAACGAGAAGGTTGGGATTATTCTGAAGTTTATTATGGAAGGATAGGTATCTGGATTGGGCCAGATCTGAAACATAAGAAACATTAAGGTCACTATGGTTTTATTTGTAACAAAGTAGGGAGTATTAAGGATTTTACGAAGTATTTTGGATTGTAAGGATTGGATACAAGAGGAATTCGATAGTTTTGTGGAGCCCCATAGCTTAACTCCGTAAGTCCAAATAGGCCTTATTATAGTCATGTATATGAGTCTTTTGTAATTAATTGGAAGTTTAGAGCGTGTATCTAGGAAGTGCTGAAGTAATCGGAAAAGTCGAGCGGTTTCTTGTCGTTTCAGTCTGGTATGAGGTATTGAACTAAATTAATAGTATTTAAGGGTTAGATAGAAGTGAGGTGTATCA